GCTGGGCAATGTAAGAGAACAACGTGCCACTCCTCCTGCATGCGTCTGCCTTTGTGGATTCCACATGCCAGGCTCTGTAATGTGACTTTTCCTTGTCCACGTGGCTGGGCAGCAGCTCAGGCCCATGCCTGCCCAGGTGGGCTGGGATGTGATGCCAAGCAGTTTCAACCTCATCTCTGCCAGCCCTTAGAAAGGGACTGTATGAGCTGAGTGCTGGTGGCTCACATCTCCAATCTTAGCTACTCAGGAGGCTGACATATGAGAATCATAGTGCGAGGCCAGCCTGGGCAGGAAAGTCTGTGAGACTCTTATCTCCAATTAACCACTCCAAAGCTGGAAGTAGAGCTGGGTATCAAGTGGCAGAGTGTTAGCCTCGGGCACCAAGGCTCAGGAACAGCACCCAGTCCCTGAGTTCAAGCCTCAGAACTGGCACCAAACAAAAAAATAAAATAATACCACAGGCTAGGTGCCAGTGGCTCGTGTCTGTAATTCTAGATACCTAGGAGGTTGAGATCTGAGGATCACAGTTTAAAAACCAGCCAAGGCAGGAAAGTCTGAGACTATCTCCACTTAACTACCAGGAAATGCAAGTGGTGCTGTGGTTCAAAGTGGTAGAGCACTGGCCTTGAGCAGAAAAGCTCAGGGACAGTACTTAGGCCCGAGTTCAAGCCCCATGACCAACAGAAACAAATAAACAAACAAATGAATCCCACAGAGTTGAGGTGTACTCAGATGGTCAGGCCCAGCCCAGCCTGGTTCCACTATTTGCAACGTGGCCTTGGGTCCCTTTTAGCCTGCCAAGGCCTGGGAATCCAGGTCTAAGCTTGGTTGTGGTCTGAGGGCCAAGAAGACAGGTTGCTGGGTAGAGGACTGCTGTGAGGTGTGTCAGAAAGACCCTGATCTCCCCAACCCACCCCAAGGGAGGAGGGTCAGCCATTGTAGCAGTCTGATTATCCCTCCAGTGATGGCTGAAGCAGAGACCCCTTCCACAATAGTTTATTCATTCCTTACCACAGGAAGGACAACACGGGGCAAGACCCACTGATTGCCACACAGAGGTATGTTTGGGGTATGCACTATTTGTGAAGGACTCCTGTGAGGCATACCTCTTCAGGAGCCCCACTCCTACGGGAGCAGACATTAGTGTCAGGCCTCAGCTCTGGACAGGCCTGGGGGCCATCTGATAGATATGGACTTGGTATGATCACATGTTCACCAATGCCTAGAGTACTGTTTCCCTCCTAAAGTGACATCCCCAGGTGGAATGGCATAAGCAGAGAGATTCATGCCCAGAATCCTGTGGCATCCCTTGATGCCAGGGTGAAGAGACTGCTTAGAGCTCTGAGAAAGAGCCTGGGTTCACAGTCAGGCATGTAAACAAGCATGGTTTCCCAAGTCCAGTCCTGCCTGGAAATGTCACTTCTCATCTATGAGCCTCAGTTTCCTTATCTGCACACCAGTATGTTCCTGTGATGGTATGAAGCACCTGCCCCACACTGTGGAGGCTGAGAGCTGGGGTCAGGATCTGTGTCCCTGATCTGTATCCCCTGTTGTGTGGACAGGCTCCCAGCTCGCTGCTGCTGTAACCAGCCCCTAGGCCCCAGCTCATCTGACAAATAAACTCTCTCGCTTTCCTCCAAACATGTTTCTGGCATGTTCCTGGTCTCACCGGACATCAGTCGACCATCAGCTGCTGCACATTCTGCTGCTTCTATTATTTCAGAACTAATTTAAGGATTAAAAAATAATTCTCCCAATTACTGTGCAAAGCCCTGGGCAGCCAGATAAACAAGAGGCAGGTGCTCCTGTCTAAGCCCGACCCTGTGTCCCTCAGGGAGCCCCATGATAACTAAGCCCCCACAGAGTCTGCAATAGTGCCTCACCAACCTCCTAGAGTCTCAGAAATGGATCATGGTTGCCTGAGAGTGACCCCCAAGAGCAACCCAGGGTCCTGTGGGCTGCTTGCTCCTGATTCATTTGCCCTGGCAGCTGCATTTAATGGGAGTCCCAGGCCATATGTCAACTTCTGTCATTGTGCTTGGTGGCACAGGCCTGGAAGGGCCTAGGACACAAAGGCAGGCCTGTGAACTGTGAAGGATTTGGTCTACAGGGAGCCCTGTGGCTGGCTTGGTCTTCTGGCTTAGAGCCAAGAGCATCCACAGGAAACAGCAGTGGGCATTTGGGGGGAGTTTCACATGGCTTTAATTAGCTTACTGCACAGGCTTCAGGGTCCCAGAGATTCAGGCTGGCCCACATCTGGTCCAATATCCTAACTCAGAAAATCAGCTGGGCCAGACCTTGGTGGGTGGGGATAAAGAAGGGTTACAGTGGGCAGCAGTTGAGCCCCTGGGCTCTAGCCCAGCACCCCACCCTATTCCAGGCCCCTCGTCATTGCCGGCCGGTGATCTCATCTCTTCCTGGGCTGTAAATATCACCCAAACGCTCACGACTCCCAAATGTGTCCTCCAGCCGGGCCCCTCTCCTGAGCTCAGCCTGCACAGCCCACGCGACACCCCCGGCCCAGATGTCTCCTAGGCCCCGACAAGGCGTCCGCTCCTCCCAGCACCCCCACCTTGAGACAGGCGCCCCATGCTGGCTGCTTAGGGCAGATGCCTGGGAGCCCTGCCTGCCGCCTCCGCCCATCCTGTCGGAACCTAACTTGAAACATATCCATCCACTGCCTTCTGGGTCTTCTTGCCCCCTGCTCAGGCCTGGCCAGATTTTGACAACCCTTCAATTCCTGCCAGTGCATAGATCACCATTGTGTATACATCTGACAGAAGACCTGCTCAGGAAGTAATCCTGTCCCACCCCTGCCTTACAATGAAGTTCCTAGGCTTTTGGCTTCTGCCCAATGTCTCCATTCTATGATATGCCTCAGTTTCTTTTAAGGGGTGGGGAGAGATGCACAGTCCTGAGGGACAGGCCAGAATCTCTGACAGTATGAGGAAGAACAGGGAAGGGGACCATGGGGGCAGGGCATAGGCCAGGCATTTGGGGCTGTCACTCTGGTCACAGCTCAAACATTATGGGTTTGCTCCCAGCTCCCAGCTGAAGACCAGCTGTTGGTGATAGACACAGAAGGTGGCCTGAGGCCAGACAGGTGCCCATCAGTGAGGACGAGGCCCAGCATTTGGTAATGAGTACTGCATCCTGGAAGATATACAAGCGGAGGTGGGCCCAGCACATCTTCTGTAAGCACCACAGGTGCCAACACCTTGCTGCAGGCAGCCAGCTCAGATAGGTCTCAAGATTTTGTTTATGCAAATGAGTTTTCTTTTCGAGGTTCTTCCCCATCCACCACAACTAGGGCTTGAACTCAGGGCCTCTAGATTTCACTTTTTTTCTTTTCAAAGTTGGTGCTCGCTCCACCACTTGAGTCACAGCTCCACTTTCAGCTTTTTGCTGGTTCACTGAAGATAATCTCATGGAGTTTTCTGCCCAGGCTGGCTACAAACCCTGATCCTCAGATCTCAGCCTCCTTAGTAGCTACGATTACAGGCATGAGCCAGCAATGCCCAGCTAAATGAGAGGTTTTTAGAACCTGACTCACAGGCCAGAGTCCCCAGCCTCAGCTCACACAGCCCCTACCCCACACCCAGCTGCTGGCCTTGTCTATTCAGGTGTGTCAGGGGTACTTGGGAAAATACTGAAGAAACCTTTGCCAATGCTCCTTCTGCCCTCCAGTTATAGGCTGGCAGACTCCTAGGGTGCCAGGGAGTGCTTTAGGTAGGGATTTAAGACACAGCAGACACGGCCCAATATCTCATCATCAGGCTGTCCACAGTACTGCCCATGCTGAGACTGCTTAGGGGAAGCAATGGGATCTCCTGGGGCAGAGAAGAGCTGGAGCACACAGCAGTCTGCCTGGCACAACTTGCTCGAGCTGCCCCTTCCCTGGCCACAGGGGGCAGACAAGGTTACCAGGTTGAGCAGCTCAGGTGTGCCAATGTCCACTCTGCAGAGGAGCAAACTTCAGGTGGAGGTGGGGGCAGTCATGTGGAAGCTGGCAGCACCAAGGGGCACAGGTGCTAGGATCTCCTGGAAGAAGAGATGACACAGGGGCAAGGGTACACGGTAGCTGGAGGATTCGGGAATCAGCTCTGAGTCCCCCACCTTAGGCGGTGGCTGCTGAGCCCGTCCCCCACCCTCTCCTCCTCCCCTGAGCTTCTGGAGCCCCGGCCGCCCCCACGGCCATCTGGCTCCACCAGCACTGCTCCCCCACTCCTCCCCCAAGTCTGTGTTTTTCTCCTCCCTCAGCCCCACCATCCTATGGAGGAGGGGGCCCTTCCCTGGTGGTAGGTCCCCTGCAGTTTCCTAGGCATGCTGCCCCTCTCCCTTTTTTGTTCTAAGACCTCCCCAGCCCAGGCTTAGGAAGGTACAAGTGTGTATTTTTATCTGTGCTAGGTGCTGTTTTGAAGCCTATGCATGCACACGTGTGTACACGTGTGGTTCCTGTGCTGCTATATGTGTTGCATGTGTGTGTGTGTGTATCCTCAAGGGCTTGCTTCTGGGCTGTGGGTATGGTGTGAGGGGCACAGGCAACTGGACTGTGGCCCTGGGCAGCGATATAAGGGTACACATGGCCCCTGCTCATCCTGCAGCCTGGGCCTCACCCATCCAACTGTCCTTTGGTCCCTCCTGTCTATCAGTAGGAACATTGTCTTTATCCCTTCACCCCCAGCCTGAGCTGGAAGGTGCTAGAGCAGATGTCCCTACAAAGGCGGCCTTGTTCAGTCCCGTGGGCCTGTCATGTGCTCTGTTAGCCCAATTCTCCAGAAGCCAGCTGGGCTCAGGGTTGTCAGCTGTAGGGCAAGCTTAGTGGGTGCTGCTGGAGGGTGCAGGGATGGCACCTCGTGCCTGGTGTCTGGGTGTCCATTCCATTTTCTCTTGAGGGCCTCATGTCTGGGGGAGGTGCTGTGCCTGGCCTCACCCTTGCCTCTCACCACCCACAGCACCCCCAGCCTGAGAGGCCATAGCTTAAGAAAAGAGCTCTTTATTCCACGTCATCCGATATTTTTACACAAGTAAAATAAAATGCATATCTCTATATACCGCGATCCGGGTGGGAGGCGGCGTTCTGGAACAAACGTCGCCTCCGGAACCCTGTAAACATGATGGGGTGGAGATGGGGTGGGCTAGTGGGGAGGCGTCCATCAGGGGAGGCCTGGCCTGCCCCACGGGGCCTGCCCCCAACTCTGGCTGGCGGCGTGGAGTGAGACCCCATATGTACACACCTGGCTGTGGAGAGGCTCTGGTGGCTGGTCAGCAGGGGCCCAGCACTGTCCACAGCACCAGCACAAGGCCCAGGGGCGCAAGGCTGCAGGCCAGGGCTGGTAGGGCACCTGAGCCCTCGGCATCACTAGCCCCACCGCCCCCGCTGCCTGCCTGGCCCAGACGGCAGTGGCTACGGGTGCGGTTCTTGCGGGAACAGCCGGGCCTTCGACGAGGGCCTGTGGTGGGTAGCCCTGGTGGTTCTGAGCCCTCAGGCCGTAGCCCAGTTAGTGGGGGCTCTGCGGAGCTGGGCAGGGTCCCAAATGGGGAGTCATTGATATGCCGTGGTCCAGAGCTGTTGCCTGGCGGGGTGTCACCAGGTGGCACACGCCCCTTGAGTGCATTGCCAGCAGAGGCTGGCCTCCCAGGCTCCAGCACCGAGGCTTTGTCTGCGGCATCAGGCTGGCAGCACTTGGGCAGACCCAGCAGCTCCTCGTCAGTGAGCCCAGGATGGAAGGGCCCAGTGGCCACAGCGCAGCCCTCCAAGTCACTGGCTGCCAGGCGCTTGAGATCGCGGCCAGCCAGGCGTGGGGGCAGGCTGCAGGGCACCTCTGATGATGACCCTCGGAACTTCTGCAGCCAGGCCCACAGTGGGCGTGCCCGGCAGTCGCATACCCAGGGGTTGTCATTGAGCCTCAGGTACTGCAGGGCCCGCAGCGGTGCCAGGGCCTCAGCAGGTAACATGGAGAGGTTGTTGGCAAATAGGTAGAGTGTCATGAGGCGGCCAAGGTCACGGAAGGCGTGCGGGTGCACACGGGCTACGTGGTTCTGGTGTAGGAGGAGACGGTCCAGGCTGTGCAAGCCGCGGAAGGCTCGCTCGGGCACACTAGGGATACGGTTGCCGTGCAGGAAAAGGTGTGTGAGGTTGCCCAGGTCACGGAAGGCATCATCAGGCAGCGCCTGCAGCCAGTTGTCTTGCAGGTAGAGGTACTGCAGAGCAGCCAGACCACGGAACAGGCCAGGACCCAGTTCCCGCAAGCCACAGCGGTCCAGGTGCAGCGTGTGCAGGCGGCCCAGGCCTTGGAATGTGGCAGGGTCCACGGCACGAAGTTGTGCATTGTCACTGAGGTCCAGCTGCTCCAGGAGGGTCAGGCCAGCAAAGGCAGTGGCGTCGATCCTGGCCAGGGCATTGGAGTGCAGCCACAGGATGGTGAGGTTGCGGCAGGCATGGAAGCCTGCGGCTGACACGTGGGAGATGCGGTTGCCATGCAGGAAGATGCGTTGGCTGGCGGCTGGGATGCCAGCGGGCACGGCCTGCAGGCCTTGCTGGGGGCAGCTTGTCGTCACCTTGGGCTCATTGTAGCACACGCAAGCACCAGGGCATGGCGCCGCCACCCGCCAGGCCTGTAGCCACAGCACCCAAGCCAGCAGCCGGCTCCCTGTGGGCAGAGGAAAGAGCAGTCAGCAGGCAGGAGGCTCCTGGATCCAGGTCAGCACTTGGGTTAGACCTCAGGAAGGGATGAAGCTGGGTCTAAGAGGTGTCTTGCCAACCCTGGAAATTGGGTGTTTGGGTACTGCTATGTCACATGTCACAAAGATGATGCTGGGCTACAACCTGCTCCAGCCACACTGGGGAAATGGGGACACCCCATGCCACCTTACCTGATGCTTACATGATTGCCATTCTCCTCTCACCAGGGTTAGCCTTCTTTATCACCTTACAATTACCCCTTGGGAGGCTTCTCGGGGTGGCTATTCATACCTGTAGATGCCTTTCAGGACTTTGGCAAACATAGACCTCCTCAAGTTTGGCTATGTCTCCTGGGGCCCTCAACATTGGCTTGCCCCAGCCAATCCCATCAACCCGCAGGCCATGCTAGGAGAGAGGCTAGAGGGCTAGACAGGCCAAACTTAAGAGCTGCTGGGAAGAGTGGGTTCAGGAGGAAGATTGGGAGATCTCCAGGTAGAGACTTGTCCCTAGCCCTTCTAGGTAGCCAGCGACTGAGCTTCAGATGGACTCTGCAGTAGCCCATCTTCCTAGGTTGCAGAGTGGGCGGGGTTGCTGCTTGGCTCTCCATGCCTGGCCCAGGTCTCTGAAGCAGCAGGGATTTAGAGAGGGGGGAGAAAGGGGTGGGGAAAGAGTGATCATGCCTTATTGGTAAGCTCTGCTTTCAGGCAGAAACTACAGATATCTGGGTTCTCTGCCTGCCTACTGCCTGCCCCACCCCCAGGGTGCCCCCATTAGCACCTTTACTATCATAGGAGCTTCCTGCTTGGGTGCAGAGGGTCCAGGGGTAGGAAATGAGCATGCAACCTTGCCCAGGAGGAGCATCCCCCCCCCCCCCCACACACACACACACTTAGGCAGACTTCTCCCTCCTCCACACATCCTCCCTTTTAAGCACTTCCTGACTTGGCTCAGAATACCTCCTGCAGCCTCCTCCCCTGGCTTCATTCTTTGTTCTATCCCCTCCCAGGGAGGAGTTCACTTCTTCCCAGCCAATCCCTGCATGATCCCAGCTGCCCTAAACCCTCCCACTCAGACTCACCCATCCCCAGGATAGAGTGGTCTCTCTCAGCCCCAGGGCACTGTACCCCTCCAAGATCAAAAAGCCAGACATACTTGGGGCTTTACCAGCATTGGACCACCCCTGGGGCTGGCTACCACTTCCAGACCTGGCTTTACCCATAGGCCATCCCTGTGGATGCTTTAATGCCTGGCACTGAGTACCTTCCTCCCTCCCCCAAGTGCTGGTTGTGTGTGTGTGTGTGTGTGCGTGAGGGTGTGTGTGTGCGCGCGCGCGTGTGTGTGCGTGAGTGTGTGTGTGCGCGCGCGCACGCGTGTGTGTGTGTGTTTCCCCCTTTTCTGCCTTCAGGAGTGAGTCTATTAAAATGTGAATCCCCTTGGGAGAGTTATAGCTTATCAGCCAACACTTGAGTTATCAGCTAACACCTTGGTTGACAGCTAACACCTATGTTGACAGCTAACACCTTCCTTGGCAGCTAGCTAAGAGCAGGAATCTGCAGCCACGAGGCAGGAACCCAGAGGGAGAGAACCAAGGGGTAGCTTCCTCCACCCAGAACTGTGAATGTGACCACACTGAGGTCCTCTTTTGCCTGGAGTCGAGCAGACAACTGTCCTAAATCTAAATCCAGGAAGTCATGCAAGTGTAACAGGCATAAGGCATGCACCCAGGTCCTGGAGTCCTTCCCCATAACCCCAAAGGCCTTCTGGGCTGAGCTCTGTCTGCTGGGATGAGTTATTGGCTGCTGAATAAAGGGTGATTTGTTGGCCTCCAGAGGGATGGCAGTCCCAGGATTGGGGGAGTGGAGGAGGTCCAAGGGGCAGGCCAAGCCCCGGAACCTCCAAGATCTGGGAGGCCCACCCAGAGCTGGTTTTGTGTAGGATATTCTTGGGCCTGATGTTCTATTTAAGAAGCTTGACATCTCCAGACTTCTGGGCAAATGGGGCCTGCTCATGCCAGCTCCCCACAGAAGCTCGTTCATTGTCACAGGAGTCACTGAGCTTTGTGAACACTGCTTCCTGGCCTGGGACCTCAGGAAGATCTGGAACCTTCAGCGCCACCATACCAAGCTAGGGACCTCACTGCTATGGGCAGGCCATCTTGCCAAGTACATCATGCCACAAACTGTGGTACCCACTGCACTATGCCACTGACAGACTCACCCAGCCTGGGCTATGCCTCCAACCACGTATGGTGACATGGCCACCACTGTGGTCTCCAGGCTTAGACTGTAATCTAAGAGCTTGGTTGGGGTCAGTACCCAGAGTGGCTCCAGGATTGAGCCACGCTCAAGGAGGTGGGCAAGTGGGGGAGCAGCCGTGTGGCACTCAGCCCTGCCAGAAGCTGGGATTGGGCACAGAGATACGGTTGCATTCCTGCCGAGACAACTGCTTTTTTGGAAACCAACTTCTGAGAGTCGGCCCTCCGCACTGGCCCTGCTGTCAGTGAGGCTGGGGTGGGCTCTCTTCTGCTGCAGCCACAGTAATTGGCTCCAGCCTGGCCCCCCTTGGGGCCTGCCCGCTGGTCTCCATGGCAACCCTGCCGCTGAGCAAGCATGAGGGGGCATCTTTTTATGAGATAATCAAACTCAACTTTGCAAGCATGGGTTTGGGTTCACAGCAGGGGCCCAGGGAAATACCCGAGGCCCGGCCAGGCAGATGAAGGATGACTCTGACCCTGCTCGGGAGCTGCCTCACTTGGCCTTTCCCTGCCTCCACCCCCTTCTCACTCCCACAAAGGCCTTCCTGGCCAGCCCGGGTCTCTGCAGTTTGATCTCAAGGCCTCTGAACACCAGGCCTGGTCCCGTCTATGTAAATCCTCTCCTTTCTCTTTCTCCAGCCTGCCTCCTGATTCCCAGATTCTCACAGGAGACCACCTTCCACTGGCCCAGGCTTACTGTCCCCTTCAGTCCCACCTGCCACCCTGTCTCACTTGGGTCCCATTCTTCATGGAACTCGAGAACGTGGTGCTCAAGGCACACACAGAGCAAAAATGGCCCTGTGTGGGGGCTGTGTGGCCCCAGCTCTCACACACAGAACCCAGGGAAGCCTGTCATCAGGGCTATTTGCAGCCACCTACACCTGCCTGCCCTATAAGCTGTGTACAAACTCTCACCATCCCCAGACCTGCCAGGTGGAGGACTCCACCAGGGCCATTCCCATAGACAGCCCCACTGGCTTGTGGGTGCAAGGTTACCAGCAAGGGCCCCTGCCTTAGCCCAAGTCTGGCTCAGGGGCCACATGTGTATAAAGGCAGAGGTAGAGAGAAGGCTGGCCACCCTGCCTACAAGATTTCTCATGGAGGACAGGAAGTAGATACTGGCCTGGCCCTGCCAGGGAAGCCAGAAAGGACACGACACCACCACTGAATTATATGAGCAATTCATTATGCACCACTAGCTCTTAGGAGCAAAGAACTCAAGTTCATGGTCACTGCAGGGGTGGAGGGAGGGAAGGAGGAGGGAGAGACAAGGTGGATAGAAAAGAGGAAGGCAAGTGGAGGAGGGAGGGATGAAGGAGAAGAGAGAAGGAAGGAGGGGGGAGAGAAGTGGGAAGAGCCAGAGGGAGGAGGCAAGAGGGACTGAAGGACAGTGTGGAGGAGGAGGAGCCAGGGAAGGAGGAGGCTTCCGGGGACTCACCCAGCAGGCAGTCGCAGAAGCCAGCAGGCAGGCAGCTGCTGACCTCAGCAGCCCACCTCAGCAGAGCTGGAGCAGCTGAGCCAGACTGCTTTCTTTAGAGTCTTCTCTGAGTTCTTTGCTCCCTCTATCCGCTCATTGCCCTCAATCTCCATGTGTCCCCCGCAAACAGAAATATCCCACCCCATGGACTGTAGAGGAGGGGGATTGACCAGCTATGGCTAGTTTGAGAAAAATGTGTCAATGCTACCTAAGAGTTCATTTTCTTATCAATATCCTCAATCCCTTTTACAGACCAGGAAACTGAGGCAGTGAGCAGTTAAGCCCTGCCTCATTCCTACCTTCAGACTTGCCAAGAGGAAAGGTGGCTAGGGGTAGGGGGAAGGAGCCAGTACCACCTGGAGAGAACTCTGGGAGTGTTGGCACAAGCACGAGAGATGGCCACGTGTGGGGACTGGGCAGGAATGTGAGCAGAGGCTGCAAAGGTGTTGGGGGCGGGGGGCTGCCAGCCTGTTAGGCAAGTGCTGGGGGCACAGGGTTCTTTCCTGTGCTCTGTGTGGCTGGGAAGGGGCATGTCTTTTCCTCCCTCCCTCCCTTCCTTCCTCCCTCCCTCCCTCCCTCCTTCCATCCCTCATTCCCTCCCTCCCTCCCTTCCTCCCTCTCTCTCCCTCTCTCTCTCTCTCTCTCTCTTTCTTTTTTGGTACTGGAGATCAAACCCAAGACATTGTACTTGCTAGGCAAGCACTATGCCACTGAGTTACATTCCAGCCCATGGGACATGTCTTTTGAGGCTCTGAGCTGCTTGGCACCTGCCCTAAAGGTTAGGGTCAGAAGGCTGCAGAGGGGCCTCATAATCCTCTCAAACGCCAATGACAGCCCTGTGAAGCAGTCACAGCACAGACAACAGTTATGAGGCAGAACAGCTCAGCATAGGGACCAGAAATAGCTCCGGGCGGAGGTGGAGGGGCCAGAGTCATCCTCACACTGCAGAGGGTCAGGGCACCCCTCCCCGTGCCTGCTTCCTATTCCAACCAGCCCCCCAGCACTGACTCATTACCCCCCACCGGCCATCTGTCCCCCTCATCCGCACTCACTTTTCTCTCACACACACACTTCCTACCCTCCATCCACCCTTGGGCACATAGACATGTGCAGGGGTAGCTCAATTCCCCATGGCACTTCTCATGCCCTTATGGGGCCACAGGACTAAGTAAGGGTAGAAGGATACCAGCGGTCCCCTTGAGAGGAAGCCCACCTTGTGTCTCCTAGGGGGAGTGTG